GGCTAAAAATCTGCATGGTGGAGCCTGATTGGAGCAAGTGGGCAGTCCAATCGACATTTGGGATCGTGAAGTATGGTGGTGTGACCCCAGAAATCCCGGTGAATCTCGGCCGCCGCTCTTGATCGTGGGTTCTGAGCTTCTGGCCGTGGAGACGCATTTATGGCCTGGATAGCTGGTGAACCAATATCTCAAGCTGTCAGAATTCTTGTGAGAATGTCCACGTCTTATCACTCTGATCCTCATCACCAAATCCCGACTTCAGTCACTTCCCACCTTCCCTCATGCATTAAATGCTTCTTTGTGGCCAGTGGGTTTGCTGCATTAAACAGGCACTACTTCATTAAATGAAGCCTGGGACCCTGCTGTCACGTGATGATTTGCCTTTAATGCCTTGGCCGTGATTTTGTTCGGCCTCGGCCTCGGCCTGCGCTTGAGGCCGAGATGATCATGCCTTAGCATTTCTTCTTTTGTCTTTAGGAAGGCGAAGTACCCTGGCGAAACGCTGCGTTTCAGTTTTTACGAACAAGTGCTAGGGCCGAGAGAAGGGGCTCCTTCGGCCAGCTTATGGCCGTGATTTATCAGGCACAAACAGAACGGAGAAGGCCTTGCGCAAGGAAGTTGATCGAGTTGATTGCTTGCCCTTTACTAACGAGGTGGAACGAGCTTCGCCGCTGAAGCGGTTCACAATGCCATCCATCACCACTTTCAAGGGAGACTCTGACCCTGAGAGCCATTTGAGCACTTCAAGAGTACCATGATCCTATACAAGGCAGACAATGCCCTGCTGTGCAAAGTTTTCGCGATGACTCTGTGAGGAGCAGCTCAAGATTGGTTCCACACTGTACCGTTCGCGTCGATAGGCAACTTCAAGGAGTTCGCCCTCATCTTTATAAAGGAGTACACCTCCTACAATACGGTCAAAAGCATGCAGACCACTTGTTCAACCTGCGCAAGAAACCAGACGAGTCTCTTCCAGACTACCTCAGATGGTTTAAGGCTGAGAAGGCGAACAACATAGGATGCAATGACCAAGTTGCATCCTCAGCTTGTAAGAAGGGCTTGCCAATCGAACACGAGCTATACCATGAGCTGGCCATAACTCCAAGCCAAACCTTGGCAGAGGTCTTCGTGACGGTAGAGCGCTATGCACTTTGGGACGATGACTGTATTGTGGCGAAGAAAGCCAGCAAGCAAGTTGATCACCCGACAAGGCAGGCGAACCAAAAGAGCAACAAGTTCAAGCCCAAAGCCCGAGACAAGCGCATATTGCGACCCCAAGAGGGAGGCTCGGAAACAGGAACTTTCACTAAGTTCACTATCCCGATCCACCAGATCCTGGCATAAGTGAAGGACAAGCCGTGGGTGAGAAGACCGCCACCCCTAAGAGGAGACCCCTCTAGGAGGGGCACTAGGAAATACTGTACATTCCACGGGGAGTACGGTTATTACACAAACAACTGCAACGCCTGGAAAAGGCACCTTGAGGAGCTAGTCGAGATGGCCATTGCACAGAATTTGTCACAAAGAAGGCCATCGATCAGATTGAGGATCGTGATGCGGCTGCCAAGGAACCTCCCCAAAAGGTCATACGAATCAACACCATTCTAGCTAACTCCCAGGAGTTTGGGCTGACCACCAAGGAGTGCAAGAGAAAGATCGCGTAGGCGACTTATGTCTCCCAAGTCACAATGGGTGTACCAATCATTGCGAATACACCCATCATCGGCTTTCAGAAGGACTTGATTGGGCTTGATCTGCCGCATAATGACGCCCTAGTAATCTACATCCAAATTGAACAAGCTGTGATCAAGCGAGTTCACGTGGAGGAGGGCAGTGCAGCCAATATCCTGCAACTATCTGTTATCCAACAGATGGGATTGGAACCCAAGATCAGCAAACTCGCCAGATCGCTCACCGGCTTTAATGGGGCCGTGTCAATCATTGTTGGAACAATTGACCTTGACATCCACTCACCCCCGGTGGTCTGCTCGCAAACCTTCATGGTCATCGACAAGGTCTCTCCCTACAACGGAATCTTGGGCAGACCATGGATCAACAAGATCAAAGCCATCACATCTGCTCTACACCAGAAGATCCGCTACCCCATCCCTGGTGGTGTGATTGGGCAGATCAACAGTGACCAAGCCATGGCAAGGAAATACATAGCCCAAAGGCTCAAGAAGAGCAAGTAGCTGCAGTTCACACCAGAAATGCAAGCTACCAACAAGGCAGGAAGTGCGCCTAGCAGACAAGCAAGCCTGAATTGCAAGGGAGTTGCTACCTCACAATAGCAACTAAGGCGAGGGAATCCGCCCGGAAGGCTCCCTTGAAGAAGGTTGGAAGCCCGAGGAAGACGTTGAGTTAGTACCCCTCGATCCTGACTAGCCAGATAAGAAAGTACGGATCGGCTCGCGCCTAAGCCCAGACGAGAAGGTGGAGCTGACCACCTGCCTCCAAAACAACAAAGACATGTTCGCGTGGTCGCCATCTGACATGCCTGGCATCGACCCAAACATCATCTGCCACCGGCTCCATGTCAACCCCCGCCAACAAGCCAGTAGCGCAGAAGAGACGCAACTTCGCTCCTGAGCGGGTCGCAATCATAGAAGCAGAGATCGACAAGCTCCTAGCTGCCGGCTTCATTGAAGAGGTCTCCTACTCAGAATAGCTAGCCAACGTTATTCTGGTGACGAAACAAGAAAAGGGCAAGTGGAGAGTTTGCGTCGATTACATCGACCTCAATAAAGCCTGCCCTAAAGACAACTTCCCACTGCCGAGAATCGCCCAGCTCGTGAATTCAACTTCCAGCAATCAGCTGCTCAGCTTCATGGACGCCTACTCAGGCTATAACCAAATCCTGATGCACGAGGATGACAAGGCGAAGACCTCTTTCATCATCGAGAGAGGGACCTACTACTACAAGTAATGCCCTTTGGTCTGAAGAATGCCGAAGCAACCTACCAAAGGCTCGTCAATAAAATTTTCAAGGAGCAGATCAGCAAAACCATGGAAGTCTACGTGGACGACATGTTGGTCAAAGCCCCTAAGCGAGTAGACCGCATTAAGAACCTCACTGAGGTATTCAGCCTGCTTCGCCAATATCATATGAAGTTGAATCCAAGTAAATGCACGTTCGGTGTATCATCCGGCTGATTCCTAGGATACCTAGTCACTCAAAGAGGTATTGAGGCGCACCCACGCCAAATCAAGGCAATTCTCGAGATGAAGTCACCTTCAACGGTAAAGGAGATACAAAGTCTGAAGGGCAGACCAGCGGCCCTCAACCGATTCCTCTCGAGATCTACCAACAAGTGCAGACCATTCTTCAAAGCTTGGAAGAAGGGACAAAAAGACAAATGGGACGAGGAGTACGAAGAAGCTTTCCAGAATCTAAAGACTTACCTCACTTCACCTCCCCTGCTCTTAAAGCCTATTCCTGGTGAAGACTTGTTCGTGTAGCTGTCAGTGTCCAACTCGGCCGTCAGCTCAGCTCTCATATGAGAAGAACTGGGGGTCCAACATCTGGTATTCTACACGTTAAAAGCCCTTCTCGATGCAGAGACGCTACCCAAAATTGGAGAAGCTCATTTTGGCCCTTGTAGTTTCCGCGAGAAAGCTACAAACCTACTACCAAGCTCACCGAGTCATCGTCATGACCGACTTTCCTTTAAGGTCAATCCTTCACAACCCTGACACGTCTCAACGACTCATGAAGTGGGCTATAGAGCTAAGCTAATACGACCTCCTCTACCGGCCAAAAACTGCAATAAAAGCCCAGGCTTTAGCAAACTTTGTCGTAGAATTCACGCCATCAGCCGAAGAAGAGAAGTTGGTCAGCAAAAAGAAGGAAAGTTTGAGAGCAGACAGGACCTCCCCTGAACCTGACCAACCTAGAGACATGTGGCAGTTGCGTGTAGATGGAGCGTCGAACCAAAAAGGAGCTGGAGCAGGTGTTCTCATCATCACCCCAGATGGAACCTTGTTGGAGCAAGCTATCACGTTTGGCTTCCATGCCTCAAACAACGAGGCAGAATACGAGGCATTGCTCGCTGGCTTGTGCTTGGCAAAGGAGCTGTTAATCAAGAAGTTGGCCATCTACTCAGATTCCCAGCTAATCACAAATCAAGCCTCAGGAGAATGCATGGCAAAGCACCTAAGGATGATCTTGTAACTTGACAAAGTCCAAGAGCTGTTGAAGGCGTTTCCTATCTTCACCATCAAACAAGTGCCTCGAGCAGAGAACGCACACGCATACACATTGGCAAGCTTAGGATCAACGCTTGATACCCAGTTCAAATGCTCTATCCAGGTGGAGCACCTTGACTAGCCAAGCATAGAAGAGGCAGAGCAGCCAAACTTGATGCAGATCAACGAGGATCCTAGCTGGCAAGACCCTATCATTGACTACCTAGTTAACGAAAACTTATCCAAGGACAAGTCTGAGGCTCGAAAAATCAAACAGAAGGCTGCGAGATACTACATGAAAGGTGACATGCTTGTTCGCAGATCATACTCCAGCCCTCATCTTACTTGCATCAAGTACCTGCAGATGCTCAAGGTTCTCTGCAAAATACACGACGGCGAATGTGGAAATCACGCTAAGGGCAGATCGCTTGCCCAAAAGGCTCTCAGCATAGGCTATTTCTGGCCTACCATGCGCCAAGACTCCATGGACTATGCTCGAAGATGTGATTGATGCCAATGATATAAGCCAATCCTTGGCTTGCCAGCTGAGGAATACCATCCACAGAATAATCCATGGCCTTTCATGCAATGGGCCATTGACCTGGTGGGACCTATGCCGACAACACTTGGCAATAAACATACACATGCAGGCGACCAGCCTTATCTCTATTGAAGGCAATCTACTTCTCAAGTACAAACTTCATGGAGTTTTTTTTTTTAACGCTATGTCCCCGACATACGCCCATAGGCGACAAGCCTTATCTCCATTGCAAGCAAGCTACTTCTCGAGTACAAACTCAATGGAGCCTTTTTCGAGCGTTATGTCCCCATTGAAGATGATAAGTCCATAAATATACTCATTTATGTACTCTCTTTACTTAGGCTTTGTAGAAGAATTAGACTTAAAAAGGGCTTATTACTTCACTTTTCTGATTTTCAGCTTTTCTGCGCTCTTGGAAGGTTTTTAAGGGAAAATCAACTTTTCGGAGGAATTTTAGTGCAAGGTCAATTGGAGATGAAAGCTAACACCTTGAAGTTGAATCTGTGATTTTTCCAGAATTTTCTACCGAGCCAATTGGTACAGTATTACAAGTAACGTTAGCCCACGTGCAGACAGGACAGTTTCGTACATGTTACGTGAATATGAAGAAACGGAAGCCTTCCCGAATTTTCCAAGTTACGTGCTATATATGGTTGGAAAGATAAGACATTTATCTTTCTAAAATATATTTTTCCTGATTTTTCTAGAAGGCCGAAGATCCCCAAATCGTGTGACAATTGGGCTGAGCTGTATTTCCCTGTGGAGTTAGGAATTGTGATCTTTACTTTCCTATTTGGATTCCTTGTTTACCAAGACTTCTTGGACGACTTTTCAGTAAATTTTAGGGTTTAGGACTTTGATTTAAGTCATATAAAAGGCCAGCCAAGGCCCCATACAGAGGATTCACGTCCGAAGGAGATCAACCGCGCAAGAGGAAAAAGCTGCCAGCGAGTTCTTTCTTTTCCTTTCTTCTTTTAATTTTCAGTTCTTATGTATTTATTTTTGAGTTCATCCAAGAACATGAGTAACTTTCAGTTCTTGTTAGTTAGGGCTTAATCTTGAAGCCCTAAACATGATTTCAATTCTATAAACAAGTTTGAATGGATTTTTCAGTTTCTACAAGCGGGATGATTTCGGTTTCTCGATGTTATGTGAATTCTGATATTTTGTTTCTTTGAGTAGCTAACTTTGAAGCATGTATCGGAATTAAATTGTTGTAGAACATAGGTCAATTGCCATATTGAATGTGTTCTTGTTTGCAACGAATAATTGGGTTAAGAACTAGTTATGAGAAATCGATTCTTGAATTCCTAATAACAAATGCCATGTTTTAGGGTTTTTGTGACACTCATATTCTCTTTGATCTTAATGGATTCTTGATTGTTAAATTGAGTAAATGCCATACTGGATTTCAATTAAGAATACACGTATTGATGTAAATGCCATACACTTTACATACACTTAAGAGAGAATCATACAACTCGAGTCAAATGCCATGATCTTGTTGTGAGTGTCGTCATCATATGCTTGCTAGAAATTGATTATCTATTGTTGTTTATGGATTGATTGATTGTTTGAAGGTGGATAGTTTGTCCTAGCTATTGTTCTTGATTGATTTTAAACTAATTTCTCTTAAACTCTAATTTAAATTCTGTTCTGTTTTCTACAAGCTACTTCTCGAATACAAACTTCATGGAGTCTTTTTCAAGCGCTATGTCCACGACATATGCCCGCATGCGACAAGCCTTACCTCAATTGTAGGCAAGCTACTTCTCAAGTACAAACTCAATGGAGCCTTTTTCGAGTGCTATGTCCCCAACATACGCACACAGGCGACAAGCCTTACCTCCATTGTAGGCAAGCTACTTCCCGAGTACAAATTCAATGGAGTCAATTTCAAGCGCTATGTCTCTGGACATACACTTATGTCTGCTGCGCAAATCTCACGGCCTGGAGTTCCGGGCCGAGGGGATATGCGTTGACAAGCGGTTTCTTGCTTTTTGATGAGTGTAGGATGGATAAGTGGTGTGCCTGTTTGAACTCGTCTTCTAATCAAACGATTATAGCCGAGAGAGGAACTAGTCTCAGCTGTTAAGTTCACGGCCTGAACTACAAGGCCGTTGAGTAATGGTGTTGGTGGTGGGTTTTGGGCGGTGCTCCGGCGCGTCGCTCAGGGAGCGACGGTCGTATGATATATGGGGTGAGTGAATGAACAACAGGGATGATGCTCCGGCGCCTTAAAAATCAAGGGTCGTATGATATATTGATGAATGAATTTTCCTTACAGTCTAACACTACTCCTAGGAAAGCAAGTAAAGATATTGAAAGTGCATTACAGGAAAAAATAAGTTGCTCCGTGGGAGGCTTTGGTTTGGTGTTTGAACCCTTTGAATGTAGCTCGAGCCTTGTATTTATAGGAAGAGTTCCTGGATGAGTAATCGAGGCTGAATTTACGCATAGTGGAGT